TTCTTAAAATTTGATCTACGGTATTCTTCCTTTGTCTAATGTGTTTTTCCTGGTGTTCCGTCTCTTTTGTTATTTCTCATTCTTAATCCAATCACATTCCTCTGTGCGTGGGAAAAGGAGGAAATCATATGTACTGGGCCCTGATGGCACAGTGGTTAGAATGCAGTATTGCAGGCTAATTTTGCTGACTGCCAGCAGTTCGATTCTCACTGGCTCAAGGTTGACTTGGCCTTCTATTCTTCCGAGATTGATAAAACCCAGATTGTTGGGGGCAATATGCTGATTCTGAACCCTTTAGAGAGGGCTGTAAAGCACTGTGTAGCGGTATATAAGTCTAAGTCAGTGGTTCTCAACCTGTGGGTCGGGACCCCATTTAGGGTCGAACGACCATTTCACAGGGGTCGCCAAACAATGCAGTCCGCCATTTTTTCCCCCTTTTCCTTAGCTGTGCTACTCCCTTTTATTCTATTGGCTTTTGAAAGCCATAGAATAGACTCTCTTGAATAGAGTCTAATTCTATTGGCTTTCAAAAGCCAATAGGAATTGTCCAGGCTGTCTCTGCCCTGCTGAGCCCGCCAAAAGTCCCATTCTACAAACGGTGCTGCACCAGTTGAGTAGTCCTCGACTTACGACCGGTTGAGTAGTCCTCGACTTAATGACTGGTTGGGGGTCGCGGCATCTGTAAACGGTGCTGCACCAGTTGAGTAGTCCTTGACTTACGACCGGTTGAGTAGTCCTCGACTTAATGACTGGTTGGGAGTCATGGCATTAAAAAGGTTGAGAACCACTGGTCTAAGTGCTATTGCTATTTATATTAGTTAAACAAGAAGTTTAACTCAGTGGGTTTCTGTCTCAAATTTCCAATGTTTTGGGTTTTGTTTTTTTTTGTCCCAAGTAGGGATATCCAAGAGAATGAACCCGATAAGGAGGCTGTTGTGTTGATATCACAAACACTGAGAAATGAACGGAGAAACGAAACCTTGGGAAATCAGTGCAGACACTGAAGTAAAACCTTCAAAAACGTATAGGAGAAATCCTTCAGAGTCTTAACATGCTAGAGTCCTAGAGTCCTGACTGGACAAAATTAAGAAAGAAAGAAAATTGTTCAGTGCATCATTATAGCAATAGCATTTAGATTTATATAACACTTCACAGTGCTTTATAGTCCTCTCTAAGCAATTTACAGAGTCAGGCTATTGCCCCCAGCAATCTCGTTCCTCATTTTACCGACTTCAAAAGGACGGAAGGCTGAGTCAACATTGAGCTGGTGAAAATCAAACTGCTGGCAGCTGGCAGTCAGCAGAAATAGCCTGCAGTGCTACATTCTAACCACTGCGCCACCATGGCTCTGTAGTGTTTCTAGTTGTCATACAGTTATCATGTACACTGCAAATTGATTTGGCATTTTTCGTTCCAATATTTAAATTGTGTCTCTGATGTTTGTACAAAATAATGAACGGATATGTAAGAAAGGTAGAGGGCTTGGGACCCATGCAGTGCAGTCCATAAAGTCAGAAGGGGTTGTCTGAAAGATTTTAGGCAGCGTGTGGAAAATTATCCAAACGAAGACATCTTAGAAGGCATAATGAAAGGCGGTTCAGGAAACAAGTTGGATTGTCAACGCTGCTAACGTTGGATGTTCTTGCTTTGACAATATACGAAGATGCAGACATTTTCCATTTAACCTGTGTATTTTAGAGTTAGAATTAGATGGTGCTGGAGGGAGGGGGGGGAAGAACGTGCAGGGGGATTAGTTAGCCATAACAATATCTCAGTCGAGTATTCTTCAAGATTGTTTGTAATAAGAGGAGATAAGAAATGGCAGGTTATGCAACCCGTCCACTTCAAACTAATTGGAGAATGTGATTAATGACTGTTAATTGAAGGAGTGAATTATGCTTAGATACTATGTGTTTAGGGGAGGAGAATTCAGATTTTGGCTTTGCCTATGTACATGCCGAAGCTATGTTTTCTCATTAAAGATTCTTTAAGGTAAACAATGCCTCAAAGTTCTTTGAAGAGTTTCTTCCTTCGGAACCATGACATGGATCATATATGAACCAAGTGAGCAGAAAAATACCCAGTTTAGCATAGTGGTTAAAGGCATCAGGCCAGAAGCCAGGAGACGGAATTCTAGTACTGCCTTGAGCACAAAGCCAGCTGAGTGACTTGGGCCAGTAAGTCAGTCTCAACCCTAGGAAGGAGGCAATGGCAAATCACTTCTGAAAAATGTTGCCAAGAAAACTTCTGGGACTTGTCCAGGTTGCCTTGGAGAACTGAACACAATTGAATGGAAGGAAAATAATAATAATAATAATAATAGTCATAGGCGCCTTGAGTGCAATCCCAAAACAACTGGAGCACCACTTGAACACCATTGGCATTGACAAATTCGCTATTAGTCAATTGCAAAAGGCGGCCTTATTAGGAACTGCTTCCATCCTGCGACGATAACTGTAATACCATCAAACATCCACATCTGCCTATCCCAGGTCCTGGGTAAGGACTCGATAGGTAGACAAAATGCCAAATCCAGTCTGAATATCTGGCTGACTGTGCGATGATACATAATAATAATAATAATAATAATAATAATAATAATAATGATGTTGGAAGGGACCTTGGAGGTCATCTAGTCCAACCTGTTAGGGGCTCAGGTAGGAAACCCTATACCATTTCGGACAAATGGCTGTCCAGTCTCTTCTTAAAAACTTCCAGTGTTGGAGCATTCACCACTTCTGGAGGCAGGTTGTTCCACTGGTTAATTGTTCTGTCAGAAATTTCTCCTTAGTTCTATATTGCTTCTCTCCTTGATTAGTTTCCATCCGTTGCTTCTTGTCCTGCCTTCAGGCGCTTTGGAGAATAGCTTGACTCCCTCTTCTTTGGGGCAGCCCCTGAGAGATTAGACTACTGCTATCATGTCCCCCCTCATCCTTCTCTTCGTTAAACTAGACATATCCAATTCCAGCAGCCGTTCCTTATGTTTTAGCCTCCAGTCCCCTAATCATCTTTGTTGCTCTTCTCTGTACTCTTTCTAGAGTCTCAGCATCTTTTTTACATCATGGTGACCAAAACTGGATGCAGTATTCCACGTGTGGCCTTACCAAGGCATTGTAAAGTGGTATTAATACTTCACGTGATCTTGATTCTATCCCTCTGTTAATGCAGCCCAGCACTGTGTTGGCTTTTTTGGCAGCTGCAGCACAAGTTAAACTAGACATACCCAATTCCAGCAACTGTTCCTTATATGTTTTAGCCTCCAGTCCCCTAATCATCTTTGTTGCTCTTCTCTGTATGTGGAGAAGTACCAGGCAGTGTGAAAAGGAAACCACGCTGCCCCAGCTTTTGGGAGAATATAAAAATGGATAGTACTTGGAGCCATAATGTAGAACAAAATGCCAAATGAGGCATTGAGCATGGTGGGCATTTGCCTCGATTCTTCTTCTTCTTTTCAATTCTATTTTTATTTTATTCAAAGAAAGTTAAAATATAAATACAAAATTCCAATTAAAAAAAAACAAAGGGGAAAAAAGCAAACAACATAAATAGTGCATTTAAAAAAACACTAACACCTATGCACATGAAGTATTAATACCACTCTACAATGCCTTGTAAGGCCACACTTGGAATACGGCATCCAGTTTTGGTCACCACGATGTAAAAAAGATGTTGAGACTCTAGAAAGAGTACAGAGAAGAGCAACAAAGATGATTAGGGGACTGGAGGCTAAAACATATAAGGAACGGTTGCGAGACTTGGGTATGTCTAGTTTAACGAAGAGAAGGACACGGGGGGACATGATAGCAGTATTCCAATATCTCAGGGGCTGCCATAAAGAAGAGGGAATTAAGCTATTTTCCAAAGCACCTGAAGGCAGGACAAGAAGCAACGGGTGGAAACTAATCAAGGAGAGAAGCAACCTAGAACTAAGGCGAAACTTCCTGACAGTGAGAACAATTAATCAGTGGAACAGCCTGCCTCCAGAAGCAGTAAATGCTCCAACACTGGAAGTTTTTAAGAAGAGACTGGACAGCCATTTGTCCAAAATGGTATAGGGTTTCCTGCCTGAGCAGGGGGTTGGACTAGATGACCTCCAAGGTCCCTTCCAACTTTACTACTATTACTAATTTCCCACCCCTTGCGAAACAGGCTCCCAAAATTTTTAAACTACTAAATCTATTTCCAAGTTATTAACCCGTCATCTATGCACTATATTAATGACATAATAGTTATGTAAAACATGCTCCGTACCAGGGGCCGAAGAATCGCTCGGCGGTGAACGTGGGAAAAGCAGCAGAGGCTAAAGAACCCCTTCCTCCCCCCCACGGGGTCAACCTCTGAGGAGGCAAGTGGCTAGCTGAATGGGATGACACAGGTAAGTGGAAGCTCCTGATTGCTGCCCGCAGCCCATCCATGGAGCAGTTGAGAGAGAAGTTTGGAGGGATGGAGATTTGTGCAGCAGTGACACCAGTCAGGGCCACAGCTACCAGGTCAAGAGCCATGAAACCCCAGGTGATCCTAGCTACAGCCTTGTGGAGCTAAGACTGAATGTGTTTCAGCATAGATGGCCACCACAAAGTTGTACATTGGCTCCCGGCCTGGGCCAGGGCCAGGGCCAAGGCAGCGGGGGCCGTTCCCTCACTGTTTCCAGGATGGCTTCACGGGCCACATGAAACCTCTTTGCGGGCCGCATCCGGCCCCCGGGCCTTGTGTTTGACATGTCTGTTCTATAGGGTTTCCTGCTGGAGCAGGGGGCTGGACCTCCAAGATCCCTTCCAGCTCTATTCTGATTCCATTCTTTCCATCCATCCTTCCACCCATCCATCTATATCTTCAAATGACACTACTTTAAAAAATCTGAGATTCATAAATAAAATAGCATATGCTAATTGTTTTTTGTCAGTCTTCATCTCTCAGACTGCCACGAGGGTTTGGCCCATTTTTTTTAACCTTCCCTAGATCATTACACACGAAGAGAAAAAGCATAGACTTAACCACGATTCTCATCCAAATATATGTTTATTGAAAAATTAGGACATTACTTCTCCTGAAACTCTTCCCAAGCCACTCATATTTATATAATTTCTGTTCTGTATGGATTCTTTTGTGATATGTAAGGGAACTATTATGATTGAAGCTTTTCCCCACACTTCACACATTTCTACATCCTCTCCCATGTGGATCCTTCTATGGGAAGCAAGATGACTGGTCTGAGTAAAGATCTTTCCAAACTTGATGCTTTTATAAGGATTTTCTACTGTGTAGATCTTTTTATGTAAGTGATCTATTTTTGTAGAAACCCTTTCCACATTCCACAATTTTATATGGCATCTGTGTGAATCCTTTTATGGCAAGTAAGACAATCACACAAACTGACGCTCATTCCACACTCTATGCATTTATAGGGCTTCTCTCGTGTGGATCCTTTTATGGGAAATAAGACCACTGATCTGAGCAAAGGACTTTCCACATTCTGTGTATTTATATGGCTTATCCCATATAAATGTGGATTCTTTTATGGATGGCAAGATCATAATTCCCCCGAAAGCCCTTTCCACATTGTACACATATAAATGCCTTGTGGATCATTTCATGGCGTGTAAGGGAAGATTTTGTTTTGAACCACTTTCCACATTCCTTGCAAGTATAGGGCTTTTCCCCTGTGTGGATCGTTTTATGAGAAATAAGACTATTGCTATGAGCAAAGGTCTTTCCACATTCCATGCATTTATATGGCTTCTCTCCTGTGTGGATCCTTTTATGGGAAATAAGACCACCGATCTGAGCAAAGGTCTTTCCACATTCTGTGCATTTATATGGCTTCTCCCCTGTGTGGATTCTTTTATGGATGGTAAGATCATAATTCCTCCGAAAGCCCTTTCCACATTGTACACATATAAACGTCTTCTGATTTGTGTGAATCATTTCATGGCGTATAAGGGAAGATTTTGTTTTGAGCCACTTTCCACATTCCTTGCAACTATAGGGCTTTTCCTCTGCGTGGATCATTTTATGAGAACTAAGACTACTGCTATGAGCAAAGGTCTTTCCACACTCGATGCATTTATATAGCTTCTCCCCTGTGTGGATCCTGTTATGGGTATTAAGATGAGTGCTCTGATCAAAGGTCTTTCCACACTCCAAGCATTTATATGGCTTCTCCCTTGTGTGGATCTTTTTATGGCGGGTAAGTTGATAATTCCCCCGAAAGCCCTTTCCACACTGTACACATATAAATGCCTTGTGGATCATTTCATGGCGTGTAAGGGAAGATTTTGTTTTGAACCACTTTCCACATTCCTTGCAAGTATAGGGCTTTTCCCCTGTGTGGATCGTTTTATGAGAAATAAGACTATTGCTATGAGCAAAGGTCTTTCCACATTCCATGCATTTATATGGCTTCTCTCCTGTGTGGATCCTTTTATGGGAAATAAGACCACCGATCTGAGCAAAGGTCTTTCCACATTCTGTGCATTTATATGGCTTCTCCCCTGTGTGGATTCTTTTATGGATGGTAAGATCATAATTCCTCCGAAAGCCCTTTCCACATTGTACACATATAAATGCCTTCTGGTGTGAGTGGATCATTTCATGGCGTATAAGGGAAGATTTTGTTTTGAGCCACTTTCCACATTCCTTGCAACTAAAGGGCTTTTCTTCTGTGTGGATCGTTTTATGAGAAATAAGACTACTGCTGTGAGCAAAGGTCTTTCCACACTCCGTGCATTTATATGGCTTCTCCCCTGTGTGGATCCTGTTATGGGTATTAAGATGAGTGCTCTGAGCAAAGGTCTTTCCACACTCCAAGCATTTATATGGCTTCTCCCTTGTGTGGATCTTTTTATGGCGGGTAAGTTCATAATTCGTCCAAAAGGCCTTTCCACATTGCACACATTTAAATGCCTTTTGCCTTGTGTGGATCATTTCATGGTATGTAAGGGAAGATTTTGTTTTGAACCTCTTTCCACACTCCTTGCAACTATATGGTGTTTCTCCTGTGTGGATCCTTTTATGAGAAATAAGATTACCACTACGACCAAAAGTCTTTCCGCACTCTCTGCATTTAAATGGCTTCTCCCCCATGTGGATCCAATTATGTTTAGTAAGTCCACTTCTATAAGCAAAGGCCTTCCCACAGTCCATGCATTTATGCGGTTTCTCCCCTGTGTGGATCTTTTTATGGATTGTAAGTTTAGTCCTCGTAGCAAAGGCCTTCCCACAGTCCATGCATTTATAAGGCTTCTCCCCTGTATGGATCTTCTTATGGGAATTAAGATGAGTGCTCTGAGCAAAGGTCTTTCCACACTCCAAGCATTTATATGGCTTCTCTCCTGTGTGCATCCTTTTATGGAGGGTAAGTTGATAATTCGTCCAAAACACCTTTCCACATTTCACACATTTAAATGCCTTCTGCCTTGGGTGGAAACTTTCATTGTAATTTTTTCCATTGTGTCTGTTTACATCATCTTGTTTTTTTTGGATGGGATAGTGTTCATTGACATCTAATTTAGCTCTGATTAGTTTCATTTTTTTTCTAATATATTTCTTTATATTTCCTTGCTGGGCAAGAAAGCCTTGCATTGAAGCATCAGTGGAAGATGAGCTTTCCTGATTCCAATTATTTAACTGGTTTCTTTCATGTCTTTGTACTTTCTTTCGAATTGCAGATTTCTCTGTTCCATCTCCAGCAATGATTACTGGAAACAATTCACAGGAATCTTGATTCTGCTGCCCATTATTACCTTCAAAGGAAAAGAAAAAGGGTTAGTGAAAAACATCAAATTGTAGGAAGCCATATTAATTTTTGTGAAATTCCAATATATTGCAAATACATGTTATAGAAATTATAATTTCTATATTCAAAAGCCATAAAAGCCTGGGAAATATCTAGAAAATATCTCTTTCTCTACAATTATCCGTATGTATTCAGTTCTTATCCAGACTCAGCTCACACTTAAGCAATAATCAGAGGAAATATCCAGGGAAGTAATAGGAGATAGCCTGTCAACTATAATAATAATAACAAAACAACAACAATAATAATGATAATAATTATTGATCATTGCACAGTCAGCCAGATGTTCAGACTGGATTTGGCATTTTTGTCTACCTATCAAGTCCTTACCCAGGACCTGGGATAGGCAGATGTGGATGTTTGATGGTATTACAGATATCGTCTGTAATGGAAGCAGTTCCTAGTAAGGCCGGATGGAAGCAGTTCCTAGTAAGGCCGCCTTTTGCAATTGACTAATGGTGAATTTGTCAATACCAACAGTGTTCAAGTGGTGCTCCAGTTGTTTTGGGATTGCACCCAAGGCGCCTATTACTATTGGTACTACCCTTGCTTGCTTTGCCACAGTCTTTCTATTTCTATTGGTAGGTCTTTGTATTTTGTTATCTTCTCCAGTTCTTTATCGTCTATTCTGCTGTCTCCAGGCACTGCCATGTCCACTATCCAGACTTTTTTGTCTTTATTATTGACAATTGTTGTTGTTGTTGTTATTTTATTGTCACTTTGAATGTCACCAATCGGCATATATCAAAATGAAATTTTGTTGTATACAGCTCTCAAAGAGTCACCTCAAATATACACTCCTTGTTCGTGGCCAGCTCAAGTTTCAGATCCTCCATTTTAGTCTCTAGGGAGCGAACGATGGCAAACAGGACAGATGGAAATTGAGGATTAGCCCTCAAATTAGCTTGTCTTCCTGCACAACAACCTCGCCTCCTTTCCTTTTTCTGATCCTGTCTCTTCCACATTTTCCTTAAAGAGGCCTTGCTTCTTTTTTGCCCCTGGAGCACGCTACTGCCGCCACCAACTTCTCCAAAATCCTCTCTCTCTTCCTCTAGGCCTGCCGACAGCCTCATCCAGTTCCTTCATTCCATAAGTCCCAGGACCTCTCCTCCTCTGCCTGCTTTGGAAACGGCTCTGATTTGCAATACAATCCATTGTATTGCCAGCAGTCAGATCTTGCTGCTGGCAGAACAATTTCAAACAGCACCAGCTAGAAACTCACCATCCCAGCAAAGATTGTCGGTCGTATGTTATCTTAGTTCCATCACGTTGCTCAAACACATTAAAACCTTCCTGATCATGTGGCCTCTATCCTTTATATCCCTCCCAAAACTTTTCACCTTCGAGAGCCAATGTAGCCGTAGCTGATCCAGGGGCCACCATCTTAGAACTGTACAACAAACAAAGAAATAAATGTTCGGCATGGACGCCTCAATGCTAGTCAAGGAAAAGAAAGATGGGTCTGTGAGGCTGTGCATGGATTTTAAAGGGTTAAACACTGTCAGTGTAGAAAATATGTACCCTCTTCCTCTGATGAAAGACATGCTGGCCCACCTGGCTAAGGGAAAAATCTTCACAAAACTGGACTTAAGAGAGGCTTATTACCAGGTGCGAATTAAGAGAGGGGGATGAATGGGAGACAGCCTTCAATTGTCCCCTGGGGAGGTTTCAGTTCAAATTAATGCCTTTCAGACTCCAAGAAGCCCCTGCCGTGTTTATGCAACTGATAAACCAGGTGTTGCATGATCACCTTTACAAGGGAGTTTTTGGTTTACCTTGACAATATCCTCATCTACACTGAGACCATGGAGGAGCATGTCAAGTTAGTTCGAGAGGTATGCAAGAAACTGTTAAAAGCTAGCCTCTGTGCAATGCTTTCTAAATGTGAGTTTCAGCAGATATGCCTCAATTACTTGAGCTACTGAATGTCTTGTGAAGCAGTGGAAGTCAGAACGGTATTAGAGTGGCAGCCTCCGCAGACCCGCAACCAGCTTCAAAGTTTTTGGGGATTCGCGAACTTCTATCGACAGTTCATCCCCTTTTGCGAGAACCACTATGCCAATTATTGTACTGTTAAAGACCGGACAAGGGGGGAAAGCTCACCTGTGTCAGCCTTTACAATGGACTATGGAATGCCAGGCAGCTTTTGAACAATTAAAAAGACTGTTTGCGACAGAACCGATTCTTAAACATCCCGACACAGAGGAACCATTTGCCATTCAGGCCAATGCAAGTGATGTTGCTGTGGGTGCTGTCCTCCTATAGAGAAATAACGGGGGGGGGGGGGAACCTACAACCTTGTGCCTACACCTCAAGAAAACTTTCAGACACAGAGCGACAATGAGCTGTTTGGGAGAAGGAAGCTTTTGTGGTGAGAGGGGCTTTGCTAACTTGGCGCCATTTCCTGGAAGGGAGCAAAGTGCCTTTTGAAGTATGGACTGGTCACAAAAACCTAGAGGCAATAAAAACTCCTAGAAAATTGTCCCTTAAGTAAGTAAGTGGGCACAGTATTTCAACCATTTTAATTTCACCCTCAAATGCCTCCCTAGGGGGAAAAACTTCCTGGCAGATGCTTTGTCTAGAATGCCCCAATATAAAAGCCGCCGGGAGGAAATTGTTAATTCCATCATTCCTCAACCACAATCAGCCTCTCAAGTAACCATGAGAGGGCAAACACAGAGAAAATCTGACGAGCCCTATATTCAACTAACTCAAAAACTCAAAAGAGGAGTTAAAAACAGACCCCAGGTTCACAGACAATAGACCGCTATTGACTTTTCGAGATTGACTATACCTTCCGGCATCCCTCAAAATTCAGGCCCTTTAATGCAGTCATGATGCAAAACCAGCCGGTCATTTTGGCTTTCTAAAAACTTTGCATTTGGTGCAGCGCCCGTTTTGGTGGCCAGGCATGAAAAAAAGACATTGAAAGTTATGTGAAAAGCTGTGCTACCCGTGCAGCTATGAAAAAGTGCCCTGGAAACCTCCTGGTCTATTGCAACAAGTGGCTGATCCGTCCCAACCCTGGGAGGAGATAGCCATGGATTTAATTGTGGAATTACTGAGGACAGGGGAAGCACAATGATCTGGGCTGTCACTGATCTTTTTACAAAGCAAACTAATTTCATCACTTGTTCGGGACTCTCATCTGCCCAAAAGCTAGCCAGGTTATTTTAAAAACACATCTATCACCTCCATGTAGCTCCAAAAAGGATTATATTGTTTAGGAGGGTTCAGTTTACTGCAAAATTCTGCAGGGAGTTTGGAAAACCAATTGGGTCTACCCAGGGGCTTTCATTCATACCTATGTCAAGGCAGACAGATTAATAAAAAAATTCTATAACAAGCAACCTCAAAAACCCAGGAGGAATTCCTCACCTGTAATTTTGTTTCCTTTAAAGGACTTGCTTTCTTCCTACGGGGGGGGGGGGGAGGTCTGACTGTCAACATTACAATGTACCTGGCTGCAACCATCTTACTTGTTCTAGGTTGCCACAAGAATGGGGAGGGGGTTGCAGAGGATTTCTGCTAGTCTAAACATTTCACTGTCCCGTGAGAACCAAGGAAATCTCTGTCGGTTAGGTGGGGGGGGCATGAGCATTTGATTATAAACCCCGCCAAACTATCCTATTGGGAAACGTAGCTGATTGCATAGCAATGGGGTGGGACATTTAATTTTGTAATAGTGTTTCTCCTTCAAAGGGATTTCAGACTTAGTTTCACTTTTGACCATGCCAATACGATGTAACCAATAAACATGTTCTCTGAGGAAATCTCTAGCCTCAGAGTTCTGGTTTGTTTCGTCTCGTCTATCACAACCTAGACACTAACATTTATTACAGTGGGTTAATTTCAGCAGAGACCTGTGAGAGCTAAAACGATTTTTAGCTTTCTTCTATCCAAACTGCCTTCTCTTTACTATTAATAATAATAATAGTAAAGTTGGAAGGGACCTTGGAGGTCATCTAGTCCAACCCCCTGCTCGGGCAGGAAACCCTACACCATTTCGGACAAATGGCTGTCCAGTCTCTTCTTAAAAACTTCCAGTGTTGGAGCATTTACTGCTTCTGGAGGCAAGCTGTTCCACTGATTAATTGTTCTCACTGTCAGGAAGTTTCTCCTTAGTTCTAGGTTGCTTCTACTCTAGAAGCCAAGCAATACATACCAAATTACAACTCTATGGCTTTTCACAGCCAACCATCATTTCAATGCGCTACAAACCGGTTCTAACTGATCTTAGACGGGGGCTATTGATTTAGAGCTGCAAGTTGACTACTCAGACCCACCGAGAAACATCTTCTTGACCCACTCTGCACACCCTCTCCAACCAGCCAAATATCTCAGTCTCACAGCAAATTCGTTGGAACATGCTCTATTGTCCCCTCTATGCAGGAACATGCCAGGAGCATGTTTCCATTGAAAATAAATGGAACTAAAACTATTTATCTTATGAAATACTCTGATCATTCTGATTTGTTTTCTGTCAACATGCTATTATCAGATAAATCTTTTTGTCCATGGGCAAGTATCCTAATCTCATTCTGACTTGGAGCAGCAGAAGGCCAAATGTTTTCCTTCTGTGTCTGAAGAGATGACATCTGCGTGGAGACTTTTTTTAAATAAAAAATAACTGATGGCATCTAACTAAAGAATGTCTTCCCAAACACTCTATTGGAGAGTAGCAAACTCTTACCCAGAGAGGCCACATTCCTATGATTTTCCAGCATGACTTTGCAATGAAGGGCTTTTTGGTCAGGATCCAACTGAGACCACTCCTCCTCAGAAAAATACACAGCCACCTCCTCAAAGGACACAAGACTCTCCTGAACAAGGAAAAACAAAAAAGACCAAGACACATTTGTGTGGTTTGTTCCATTGTTCACAAATTCCCAAAGCAAAGCTATTTGCTAACTTAAACGGCTATGTTTGATATGAATTTAAGGTTTAGGGGAGATGGAAGAAGACAAAACAAGAGAAAATTCCCCAGAAAGGGCATTCCTCAGCCTTTCAAGAGCTGGATTATTTGGTGTCCAAATCCTGGCCCAAATCAGAGGATCAGAAATTGCTTTCAAAGCCAGTACTGCCTTGATTATGTGCTCCTTCAAAACCATTTTTACACAGAGACTTTTCCATCTGGCCACTGTTATTGGATTTTAATAATCTGCATTATCTTCTAATCTGATGAACCTATTTTTTAATCACTGGTTACAAACAATGTCACAGAGTGACCCTTTAGTTATTTATGATTCGCCTTCTACAATTCCAGGTCAAAGGATAATAAAAAGCATGGGTCTGTTTAGCAGTTGCTGCCACTGTGATGTGATTACCGGTACTGTATTCTTTCACTCTCATTTCTTGAAGAATTTTTTCAAAAATTACTTCTTGTAAACTAATAGTAGGAAGAGTACCCAGCAGAATAAGGTAACTAGTGGTCTTTAAAAAAATTTTTTCCTAAATAGAATCTGTGGATAGAAATGACAAACCATTGTGTCCCAACAAGAGTCTTCAGAGAAAACAAACCTGCTGAGAGTAACTTGAACCTGCTATTATTCTCCTTTCCACGTTGCTCAGAAACATGAAAATAACACAGCCCAAACAATAGCGGGGGCGAGGGGTCATTGAAAAATAGAGTGCTCTGTACACCCACCAGCTTGACTTACTGAAGGCAACAGTGAATACAAATCTAGTAAACGTCCCCCACTTACTTCATTTGGAGGTTCAACCACTGTTTCAGCTCCACCAGAAAGACCAGAAAACTCCATTCTATGTTTCCCTGTGAGGAAGACATTCATGATCAATAACAAAATAGAAGGACGTATTCTACAGGAGAGAAGACATAGACCAAGTAAGATAGCTGGGATCTCTCTGGGGAATGGACGGACCTTTGATTACCTTTGATGGTGTCCTGGCTTGAATCTTCCTGAGGTACCCTCTTGAACAACAGATCCTCAGAGAGATTTGATGGATTCCTCCTTCCTTCAGGATCTCTGATCTCCACAGCGAAGGACTTGAAATAGGAGAAGAATTTATGGACATCACACAACATGAAGAGGATTTTTGTACTCTGAACACAACCTCAAAGTCCCTCCCCCCATGTAGTACGAATGCCAGAGGAGACTGGAAGGTGAAGAATTCAAACTTTTTATTCCCTTCAAAGCCCTTCTAGATTCCTGAGAAGAAAGCTGCTCACCTGCAACTCGACATGCTCCTTCTGCTCCTTTGCCTGGCTCAGGAGGAAGCCTTCAGCCAGGGCCACCGCCTGGGAGCTGGTCTCTACTCCACATTCCCTCACCCAGCTCTCCATCTCTGGGGGCAGAAGGGTCAGGAGCTGCTCCAGAAGAACCAGGTCCAGCATCTGGGCTTTGGTGTGCTTTTCTGGTCTCAGCCATTGCCTACAAAATGTATGGAGTCGGCTGCAAAGTCCTCGGGGACCCTCAGCCTCCTGGTATTGGATGGTCTTGAAGTTCCAGGACTGAACTTCTGAATGGATGACGGTTTCCTCCTCCAGGATCTTCTGCCCAGTTCTTGCCCAGAGCCTCCCACAGTTCCCAGGCTGAACAGCTGAAGGGCCACTTCCAATTCCCTCATTTATTAAAGGTCGTGTCTCCATTCCTTCTCTGTTCTATAGAGCAATTCCAAATGTGTCCAAGGACTCTTGTGAATCTCCAAACATCTTTTAATTCATAGGACCGTTTCCACTGCTGCTGGGCTGACCACTGCAAGCTCTTCTTGCCCAAGAGAAAATTTTGGCTTGCAAAGACTACAAATGGCTGCGAGTTTGTATATCTGAGATAGAAAAAAATAAATAAATACCAAGAATTAGAAACTAGAATAGAATAGAGGTGGAAAGGACCTTGGAGATCTTCTAGTCCAGCTCCCCTGCTCAAGCAGGAGAACCTATGCCATGTCAGACAAGTGACTGTCCAGTCTCTTCTTAAAAACATCCAGTGATGGAGCGCCCACAATTTCTGAACATCACACAACATGAAGAGGATTTTTGTACTCTGAACTCAAAGCCCCCTCCATGTAGTACGAATCTTCTTAAGGCTTAAGATACAGGAGGATCTGGACAGACTTGAATACTGGGCGCTATCTAACAAAATGAAATTCAATGGTGAAAAAAGTAAGGTTCTACATTTAGGAAAGAAAAACCAAATGTACAGGTATAGTATAGGTCAGGGGTAGGCAACCTTGGCTCTTTTATGACTCGTGGACTTCAACTCTCAGAATTCCTGAGCCAATTCTGGAAGCTGAAGTCCACGAGTCATAAAAGAGCCAAGGTTACCTATCCCTAGTAAAGGTGATACCTTGCTCAATAGTAGTAACTATGAGAGGGATCTTGGAGTCCTAGTGGACAATCACTTAAATATGAGCCAGCCGTGTGCTGCAGCTGCCAAAAAAGCCAACACAGTGCTGGGCTGCATTAACAGAGGGATAGAATCAAGATCACGTGAATACCACTTAACAATGCCTTGGTAAGGCAACACTTGGAATCCAGTTTTGGTCACCACGATGTAAAGAAGATGTTGAGACTCTAGAAAGAGTACAGAGAAGAGCAACAAAGATGATTAGGGGACCGGAGGCTAAAACGTACAAGGAACGGTTGCTGGAATTGGGTATGTCTAGTTTAACGAAGAGAAGGACAAGGGGGGACATGATGGCAGTGTTCCAATATCTCAGGGGCTGCCCCAAAGAAAAGGGAGTCAAGCTATTCTCCAAAGCGCCTGAAGGCAGGACAAGAAGCAACGGATGGAAGCTAATCGAGAGAAGCAACCTGGAACTAAGGAGAAATTTTCTGACAGTTAGAACAATTAACCAGTGGAACAACCTGCCTCTAGAAGCTGTGAATGCTTCAACACTGGAAGTCTTTAAGAAGAGACTGGACAGCCATTTGTCTTAAATGCTATAGGGTTTTCTGCCTGAGCAGGGGGTTGGACTAGATGACCTCCAACTTTATTATTCTTATTCTGTTCCACTGGTTAATTGTCCTCCGTGTCAGGAAGTTTCTCCTTAATTGCAGGTTGGACGTAGAATTTAGACACTGTACATCACTCACACAACTTTCTCGGAGCCCAACCGGGTCAGCCAAGCGCAGGGCCGAGGTCTCCTCGGGGAGAGCTGGGAAGCAGGCAGCTGAAGGGGCCGCCGACTTCCTGGGATCCCCGGTTCTGCTGCTGCTGTGAAGCTCCGCTTCCCCCTGCATGGAGAGAACAGCTGGGGAACATGGGACCCGGGATAGGGTTGAGCGGGGCACGGGTCTCTCCCTTCCCCGCCTCCCTTTGCACGGGAAAAGCCCCTGTCCCCCCTAAGACACGTGTGAACGGCTCCTCCGCAAGACACTCCCGCAGCCCCTTCGTCTCCCGAACTGAAAGGATTAAGGTGAGCGAGTGCGGCGTCCTAGAGCGGCAAGTGCATGTGACGTCACTCTGTTCACCGCCTCCTCTGGAAAGCCAGCCGTGACCTTCGCCCTCCAGTGGTCCAATAGGAGAAGCGCCTGGCGTTTCCTTTTCTTAGCCGAGGGCGCCCTCTAGGCGGGATTCTGCGTAAATTCACTGGATTCCCCACAATGGGCGGGAAAGTCTCCTGAGGGAAGCAAGGAATAAATGGGATTTTTTTTCCCCCCAAGAGCAGCCGGGGAGGTTGTGGGTGGCTGATTGGAGGCGCTTTATTCTCCCCGCCTCCCAAAAGGTCTCCTCGCGTTCCCAGAATTCCCCCTTTCTCTCCTGCTGGAGGGAAGCCATTCCAGTCCTCCTTTCACCCACATCTTCTGAGGGAAGATTTACCTCACACTCCATCTCCTGGAAACTTTTCTGCCTCAGCTTTGCGTCTTGTGCGCTGAGCCTGCGTGCAGCATTACAAAGGAGAGACTGGCAAAGGTTATGTAAGGTTTTCCACTTAGCCTCACAATGGTCCCAGCAGGAATTTAAAAGAGCCAAAGAAGCTCCTGAGCGGAGGCTTCAGGAAGCAAACAACTTTTATTTTGATCAAAATAGAGTTGGGTGACCCCATCTCTCTTTGCGGCTGGTAGAGAGATGAAGGCAACAACCAGGAAAGATGTCTTCCACCTTTTATACCTTTTCAAGAACAAAAAGATCAGGTCTTGGTACCAGGCATAAGATGATAGCCCAAAAAAACAATTTCAGGATGATGACTCATACACAGCAACCCAGGCTCCATCCATAATTCCTTTTCTCCCCTTCCCTTACCACGCTCTTTTCCTGTAAGCAATCACCTGTACCTACAGATGAAACATTTGCTTTTAAAGCACCTACAAAGCTGCTTGCACATAAACTTGTGTGTGTGTGTGTGTGTGTGTGTGTGTGTGTGTGTGAGCGAGAGAGGGAGGGAGGGAGAGAGAGGTTTAGTTGAAATAAAAATCACAAGCCAAAACTTCCCAAGAGAAAACCATGGTAATTTATTTGTACTCCTTTGCAAAGGGGGTGCTCCTTGTGCATGCAAGCACACAGTGGACACACCCCAGATCTACAATATTCATTCTTTATATTCTCCATTGCCATTACAAATTTACCTCCCACCTTTTCTTCATTGGCTTAGTAATCATATGTAATCAAAGAAGACCAATTAAAATGATCAAAGGCCCGGAGACTAAAACATATGGAAGAACGGCTACAGGATTTGGGCCTGGCTAGTCTAAGGAAAAGAAGGAATAGGGGAGACATAATAGCAGTGTTCCAGTATCTGATGGGGTGCCACAAGCCAGAGGGGGCCAGGTTGTTCACCAAAGCACCAGAGCAGTGGTTCTCAACCTGTGGATCAGGACCCCATTTGGGGTCGAACGACCATTTCACGGGGGTCGCCAAACAAGGCTGTCTGCCATTTTTCCCCCTTTTCCTTGGCCACGCCCCTGGCACCTGGTGATGTATAAGTGGTTGGGGGTCACCACAACATGGGGAACTGTATTATGGGGTCGCGGCATTAGAAAGATTGAGAACCACTGCACCAGAGGGAAGGACGAGAAACAACGGTTGGAAACTGATTAAAGAGAGAAACAACCTGGAACTAAGGAGAAACTTTCTGACAGTGAGGAAAATCAACCAGTGGAATAGCTTACACCCAGAAATCGTGGGTGCTCCATCACTGGAGATTTTTAAGAGGAGACTGGATATTCAACTATCTGAGACGGTATAGGTCAGTGATGGCGAACCTTTTAGAGACCCAGTACCCAAATTGCAACCCAAAACTGACTTATTTTTCACCAGATCCAGGTGGCCGTGGTCATGGCAGACTGGGTGGGTGGGGCCAGGGCAGAGGGGGCCAGTCCCTCACCATCTCCGGGGCATGGCACGTGTGCCCACAGAGAGGGCTCGGAGTGCCGCCTGTGGCACGCGTGCCATAGGTTCGCCACCACGGGTATAGGTTGTCCTGCTTGAACAGGGGGCTGGACTCGAAGACCTCCAAGGTCCCTTCCAGCTCTATTCTCTATTCTATTCTACTTTATTTCGTCACAACCTATCAAAAGCTTCTAAAGTGAATACATTATTTCTGCCCCAATTACATCTCCCACTAATTTTATCGCCCCCCCCCTTATTTACGAACTTCCTTTTATGGTTGTTAGTTCCTGGGGATTGTATTTAAAATTATCAAATCAGTAAGTTCTGGTTAGGACCGGTTTTCAGCATAGAAGATACTTTCCTAGATAGAATTCCTGCAAGCTAGGTTAATGAGATTAAAATATATACAATGTATTTATTTCACAGACTAGCATGTCTTCAACAGTTTCTGTAAAAACAATAAGCTCTTTTTCCCACATTTGTCTATCATTGTCTCTGTCTCTGTCTCTCTACACACACACACACACACACACACACACACACACAAGAATATTTGAGTACCACCAGTGCTTAGCAAGGTGTCAAAAACTTAATGATTAAAAAAAGGGGGGGATTTGGGTTTTACTGTTAGATTCATTTGTTATTATAGAAAACTGTAGGGTCCTGTGATAAACTATGAGTATATTAAGGGAGGAGAGGGACGGGAAAACAATTAGAATAAGAATAGGGAAAAGAAAGTAAATTTATGGGAAGTGGCCTTGAGTAATAGAGACGAGTTCCTTCTGGCTAGTGAAGTAGCATGTTAAACATCTGCCAACTGACAGCAGAATCAAGAGAGAAGAAACAATTTGTGAGAAACGAGCTCACTTGCAAAAATCCAATAAAGGGCATACTCCCATGAAACTGCATAGTGAGATCAGACAATTCCATTGTGTTGGCATTGACCCCCAAATGGAAGCTGCAATAAACAAGTTAAGAAAAAGATTTTCATTCTTCATGTGCAAATAGCATTGCTCATATTCAAATGACAGTAACTTCAAAAATCTAGGGTTCATAAATAAAACATGGGGTTTTTGTTTTGTTTTTTGTTTTTTTACTAGTCATTTCAAGCTGCCACTTAGAATAGAGCTGGAAGGGACGTTGGAGATCTTCTAGTCTAGCCCCCTACTCAAGCAGGAGAACCTATACTTGTGAGGGTTTGGCCCAATATTTTTTTACCTTCACTAAATCATTACACACACAAACTATTATAAGGCTTTTCCACTGGGTGGATCATTTTATGTAACAGGTGATTGAGTTTTGTAGAAACCCTTTCCACATCCCAAACATTTATATGCCATTTCCCATGTGAATCCTTTTATGGGAAGTAAGATAACCCCTCCGAGTGAAGCTCTTCCCACACTCCAAGCATTTATATGGCTTCTCCCCTGTGTGGATCCAATTATGTTTAGTAAGTTCACTTCTATAAGCAAAGTTCTTTCCACACTCCATGCATTTATATCGCAACTCGCCTGTGTGAATCCAATTATGTTTAGTAAGTCCACTTCTATATGCAAAGGCCTTCCCACACTCCATGCATTTATGTGGTTTCTCCCCTGTGTGGATACTTTTATGGGAATTAAGATGATTCCTCTCAGCAAAGGCCTTCCCACAGTCCATGCATTTATGCGGTTTCTCCCCTGTGTGGATCTTTTTATGGATTGTAAGTTTAGTCCTCGTAGGAAAGGCCTTCCCACAGTCCATGCATTTATAAGGCTTCTCCCCTGTGTGGATCTTCTTATGGGAATTAAGATGAGTGCTCTGAGCAAAGGTCTTTCCACACTCCAAGCATTTATATGGCTTCTCTCCTGTGTGGATCCTTTTATGGAGGGTAAGTTGATAATTCGTCCGAAAGGCCTTTCCGCACTGCAGACATATAAATGCCTTTGGCCTGGTGTGGATCATCTCATGGAGAATAAGCGAAGGTTTTCTTCTGATCCACTTTCCACCTTCCTTGCAACTATGTAGCTTTTCCCCTGTGTGGCTCCTATTGTGATTAGTAAGTTCACTTCTACGAGTAAAGGTCTCTCCACACACCTTGCAATTATATGAATTCTCCCCTGAGTGGATCCTTTTATGGGAAATAAGAATACGTCTGTGAGCAAAGGTCTTTCCACAGTCCATGCATTTATATGGCTTCTCCCCCATGTGGATCTTGCTTTGGTAATTAAGATGACAGCTATGAGCAAAGATCTTTCCACACTCCATGCATTTAAATGGCTTCTCCCCTGTGTGGATCCTTTTATGGGAAATAAGACCACCCCTTTGAGCGAAGGTCTTTCCATACTCCAAATATTTATATTGCTTTCCCCCAGGGTAGATCCTTCTATGGATGGTAAATTTACTCTTGTGAGCAAAAGTCTTTCCAAATTTTATGTATTTATATGGCTTCTGTCCTGTGTGGATCACTTTATGGAAAGTAAGTTGATTGCTTGTTCTGAAGCTTTTTCCACATTCCACACATTCATAAGGCTTCTCTTCTATGTGGATCCCTTTTTGAGATATAAGGGACCTATCTCCAAGGGGAAGAGTGAAAAACTCATTGTAATTTTTTCCATTGTGTCTGTTTACATCATCTTGTTTGTTTTGGACTGGAGGGTGTTCATTGACGTGTAATTTAGCTTTGATTAGTTTCACGCTATTTCTAATATATTTCTTTATATTCCCTTGTTGGGCAAAAAAGTCTTGCATTGAGGCATGAATGGAAGATGAGCTTTCCTGATTCCAATTACTTAGCTGGTTTCTTTCAAGTCTTTCTCCTTTTTTCTGAATTGCAAACTTCTGTGTTCCATCTCCAGCAGTGATCACTTGGAACAGTTCAAAGGAACCTTGATTCTCCTGCCCATTATTACCTTCAAAGGAAAAGAAAAAAGGCTAGTGCAAAAAACATCAAACTGCAGGAAGTGATCTTAACTTACAAAGGCCAATGAGAAACAAAAAGAGCAATTTTCTTATCTCTAACCAGTTACTACACTGCAAGAAGCAGCTGAGTGTCTTCCATCTAACAGAGACGGAGACAGAATTCCACTCACCTTGAAGTAGCCTAAAATTCCTACAATATTGTTCAAAACGAGGCCTTTTCTTTATAACTTTTCAACCTTTCTACTCTGAGCATTCTGCTCAGAAGAACTCAGCCTACTCCTAAACCAGTCTGGCCATATCTACTGCCACTTTAAAAAGAATAAACATGACTTTTTGAGTCACGTTTAACGAAGAGAAGGACAAGGGGGGACATGATAGCAGTGTTCCAATATCGCAGGGGCTGCCATAAAGAAGAGGGAATCAAGCTATTTTCCAAAGCGCCTGAAGGCAGGACAAGAAGCAACGGGTGGAAACTAATCAAGGAGAGAAGCAACCTAGAACTAAGAAGAAACTTCCTGACAGTGAGAACAATTAATCAGTGAAACAGCCTGCCTCCAGAAGCAGTAAATGCTCCAACACTGGAAGTTTTTAAGAAGAGACTGGACAGCCATTTGTCCGAAATGGTGTAGGGTTTCCTGTCTGAGCAGGGGGTTGGACTAGATGACCTCCAAGGTCCCTTCCAACTTTACTACTATTACTATCCGATTTTAGATTTAAGTCACCTTATTAACTCAGCTCCCAGAGAGATGACTGTGAAGAACAAGACACTGCACAGACAACCCTCTGGGAAAAAAACTGATTAACTCTTTCAGTGCCCTGCCAAACTTGCAAAAAGCTGATATTATCCAAAGACTGGACAGCTTGAGAGAAACTTTAGTGGCCACACATAAAGCAGCCAGAGCTTCAATTGACTTGATTTTAGCAACTACCCAAGACAGCTGCCAGCACATTCAAAAAAAGACCTGTCACTATGGCAGTCCATTCCTCTGACCAGGGCGATCTAGATCCCCATACCCTCAATATAGGTTCTCCTGGAGCAGATTCAAATCCCTCCATCCTGCCCCCTGTCAAAGAATTGTAACATGCAGAAACGTCCAACAATAATAAAACAAATGCTGCTTTGACCACTTAAAGACACAGGAACTACGACACAGGAACTACAATCTGAGCCAAGCAGTGGCCTGCTCCAGTAATATAACATGGACTTTTGTGACAACAATACATCCAATAACTGCCATACCCTTTAATCTCCAAGGCAAATCTTTGCTCCATGTATCATATGAAATTACAACAGCGGCAGCCTCCGACGAAGAAAAGACACCAGCACCAGGGGTAGAATCGATCCCCGGACCAAGTCATGCCAAAACGAAACAACAATCTCAAAATGTCCACCACATTAAGTACAAACACCAAAGTGATTTGATTCCATATAGCAGTATAAGAATGTCTTCCTAGACACCGAAGGGATTTTGGATTTCATTTCAACCCAAGTGTGACTACATGGGCCAAATCAGCCAGTCATACACCTCAACACACCGCCAGCTACCCCTCCAGTCAACAAACAAGGAAGTTCCCCATTAGAATACTGTCCTTGCTTTTCTGGAATATTGCTGAATGGGTATCTCTTTTCTGGAACATTGCTGAATGGGTATCTCTCAATTCAAGATTCTTATGTTTCATGTTCAATAACGAGGGATCTCAGCCATTCTCTCTCTTAGCAGTTCCTGGCATCGGAAGAGGTAAACGTCTTGAGGGTCCGAGCATCCATATCACAACCACTTTAAATGGAAAGATTATATCAAAAGACCCACTTGAGAACTTTGCACAGTTACTTTGAACTTTTCTGGGGAGAAATTGCTCCCCCTCAATTTGAATGTACCTCCTTACATCCCTTGACCATGCATTGTTGAAATCTGGGGAAAAGGAGAAAATTATTATCAGTGCTCTTCAACTATGCTTTCTCACTGCCTGCATCATCATTGCAGGGGACTTTCAATGCCAGATTACACCCAAAGGACAATCAGCTGTCTGCCAAATTCTCCAAAATTCTTGGTCACTGTCCTTAGGCTTTCCTTAGAAAGAGTTCAGTCCAAATTTCTGAGAACCATCTTTTCAACAATACCGTGTTTTGAACACAGTACTTTGCCATCAAGTTGGCCGCCTCAAAATCGAAACATTTGGCTACATTTACATCTTTTCCACTACTAAAAATCCTTTCCTTTCCAGTCGGTTTGACTCAACAGATGACCGGCAACCTCCAGTACTTGAGAAGCCAGGCAACACATGCCAAATTATGCCTCTATGGCTACTCATAGCCAACCATCACTTTGATGAGCTATGAACCTGTTCTAACTGAGGTTAGACTGTGGGCTATTTAGAGTTAAAACTGACCACTCAGACTGGAGAAACACCATCTTGACCCACTCTGCATACCCTCTACAACCAGCCAGATATCTCAGTCGCATAACAATCCCAACATTCAGAAGGGCCCTTTCTTTAGCCAGATTCACTGCCCTTCCAACAGCTGTTACTGAAGAAAGATACCCCAAAATCCCCTTCGAACAAAGATTGTATCCATGCAGTGGTAGGGTAACTGAATTGTTGGAACACGTTATGCTCTAGGAGTTAATTGTTGTTGTTAGTTGCGAAGTCGTGTCCGACCCATCGCAACCCCATGGACAACATTCCTCCAGGCTTTCCTGTCCTCTACCATCTTCTGGAGTCCATTTAAGTTCACGCCTACTGCTTCAGTGACTCCATCCAGCCACCTCATTCTCTGTCGTCTCCTTCTTCTATTGCCCTCAATCTTTCCCAGCATCAGGCTCTTCTCCAGTGAGCCCTTCTTTCTCATTAGGTGGCCAAAGTACTTGAGTTTTAACTTATTTCCATTTAAATTAAATGGAAATAAAATTATTTATTGTATTAAGTACTCTGGTCATTCTAATTTGTTTTCTCTTAAAATGCTACTATCAGATCAAACTGAATCCATATCTTTGTCCACAGCCAAGAACCCTAACCTCGTTCGGTCTTGGAGCAGGAGAAGGCCAGATGTTTTCCTTCTCTATCTGAGATGACATCTGGCCTGATGGCATCTAGGTGAAAAATGTTTTCCTACTGGAGAGTAGCAAACTCTTACCCAGAGAGGCCACATTCCTGTGATTTTCCAGCATAACTTCCCAATGCAGCGCTTTTTGTTCAGGATTCAGCTGAGACCACTCCTCCTCAGAAAAATACACAGCCACCTCCTCAAAGGACACAAGACCCTCCTGAACAAGGAAAAACAGAAAAGACCAAGGTGGATTTGCAAAAGACAAGACCTTTTAAAAATGGTAATGTCACAGTGTGACCATTTAGTTACTTTTGTTTACCCTTGTACAATTCCAGGTCAAAGGATAATAAAAAGCATGGGTCTGTTTAGCAGTTGCTGCCACTGTGATGCATTTATTCCTTCATTCAGAAACATGAAAATAACACAGCCCAAACAAGGGGGGGAAGGGTAGGTGAATAGAGTGCTCTGTACACCGTCTTGACTTCCTGAAGGCAAGACAGAATACAAATCTCACTTACGTCCCCCACTTACTTGTTCAACCACGGTTTCAGCTTCACCAGAAAGACCAGGAAACTCCATTCTATGTTTTCCTGTGAGGAAGACATTCATAATTAATAACAAAATAGAAGGACGTGTTCTACAGAAGAGAAGACACAGACCAGGGATTTCTCTGGGGAATTGAAGGCCCTTTGATTTACCTTTCAAGGTGTCCTGGCATGAGTCTTCCTGAGGTACCTTCTTGAACAACAGATCCTCAGGGAGATTTGAGGGATTCCTCCTTCCTTCAGAATCTCTGATCTCCACAGTGAAGGACTTGAAATAGGAGGAAGGAGAAAAGAAGCATAACTCATGAACATCACACCTCCATGTAGTCGTAATAAAGCTAGAGAATTCTGGCAGGGAGGTTGTGAAGAAGTCAACCCCTTCCCTTCAAAGCCCTTCTAGACGCCTGAGAAAAAAGTCTCTCACCTTCAACTCGACCTGCTCCTTCTGCTCTTCCGCCTGGCTCAGAAGGAAGCCTTCCACCAGGGCCACCGCCTGGCAGCTGGTCTCTGCTCCACACTCCCTCACCCAGCTCTCCAACTCTGGGGGCAGGACAGCCAGGAGCTGCTCCAGAACAACCAGGTCCAGCATCTGGGTTTTGGTGTGCTTTTCTGGTCTCAGCCATCGCCTACAAGTGTCGTAGAGTCGGCTGCAAAGTCTTCGGGGACCCTCAGCCTCCTGGTATTGGAGGCTCCTGAACTTCCAGGGCTGAACTTCTGAATGGATGATGGTTTCCTCCTCCAGGATCTTCTGCCCAGTTCTTGCCCAGAGCCTCCCACGGTTCCCAGGCTGAAGAGCTGAAGGGCTACTTCCAGTTCCCTCCTTTATTAAAGGCTGCGTCTCCATTCCTTCGCTGTTCTGTAGAGCAACTCCAAACGTGTTCAAGGACTCTTTATGGATCTCCAAACACCTTTTCATTCATAGGATGGTTTCTGTTCCTGCAGGACTGACCACAGCAGGTTTTTTCTGCCCTCTTTGCCCATGAGAAAAAAACTGCAAATCGCTTCGAGTTTGTGTTATGTGGGAAAACAAAAAATAAATACCAAGAATTAGAAACTAGAATTTCACCACCTGAAGGCAGGACAAGAAGCAACGGCTGGAAACTAACCAAAGAGAGAAGCAATCTAGAACTAAGGAGAAGTCTCCTGACAGTTAGAACAATTAACCAGTGGAACGACCTGCCACCAGAAGCTGTGAATGCACCCTCACCCAACCTGTCCGAGTGCCAACGGGCCAGCCGAGCGCAAGGCCGGGGTCCCTCCCCTCCCTCGAGCAGGGCCGGGAAAGAGGCAGCTGGAGGGGCCGCTGCCTTACTGCGATCTCCAGTTCTTTTGTTGCTGATGATGCTCTGGAGCTCCGCTTCCCCCTGCGAGAGGGCGGCTGGAGAACATGGGACCCGGGATGAGGCCCGGAGGAGGGTGGGCCCGGGTCTCCCCTTCCTCCCTCTGCTTTTGCACGGGAAGAGCCCCCGTTCCCACCTAAGGCACGTGTGAACCTTCCCCGCGAAACGCTCCCGCAGCCACCTCGCCTCTAGCGCTCAAAGGGTTAAGGCGAGCGAGGATGGCGCACTAGAGCGGCAAAACTCAGTGACGTCATTCCCCGCAGCCTTCTCTGGAAAGCCAGCCGTAAACGTCGCCCTCCAGTGGCCCGACGGGGAAGCGCCTGGCGTTCCCTTGGCCGAGCGCGCCCCCTGGAGGATTCTGCGTAAATTCACGGGACTGCCCCAGAGGGTGGGAGAGACTCGGAGGGAAACAAAGAATAAACGTTATTTTCACCCTCAAGGAAAGCCTGGGAGATTGTAGGTGGCTGACTGGAGGCACTTTATCCTCCTCGCCTCCCCCTTTTTCCAGAGTTCCCTCTTTCTCTCCCGGTGGAGGGAAGCCATTCCAGCCCTCAGTTCACCCACATCTTCTGAGGGAAGATTTACCTCACACTTCACTTTTTGAAAACTTTTTGGCCTAAGTATTCCTTTTTGCATCTTGTCCACTAAGGCGAGACTGGCAACGGTTATCATCTATCTTTCTTTCTTTCTATCTATCATCTGTCTATCTATCATCTCTATCCACATATTTGTCTATCATTATTTATATTTTCAAATGACTCTACTAATGTGGAATAATGAAAAATCACTAAAATAATGATGTGTCTGCATAATTACCGGAATAATGCTGTGTTAGCAATATGTGACTAACCTAATGCACATTGCACTTGGATACAATGTATGTAGCAAACACTCCATTGTATACCCTTGAGAAACTAACCTAATGTATTACAATGTGTATTACTATGTATATTCCTTTGTTCCTGAGAAAGGGAAAGTATAAAACTGAAGTCTGAACCCGCCCGGGGGGGGGGGTCAGAATTGCTTGTTGCTATAGCTTCTGAACGTGCGCAATAAATCTCTCTGCTAAACCCTCTGGAATTCGTAAGAGTCCTTTCATATTCCACAAAACTACCTTCAAAAATCTAGGGTTCATAAATAAAACATCATGTGCCAATTGTTTTTTGTTCTCATTAGTCTTCATCTCTCAGGCTGCGTCTTATGAAGGTTTGGCCCATTTATTTTACCTTCCCTAGATCATTACACACCAATAGGAAATGCATAGATTTAACCAAAAAAGTCTACATGGATTCTCACCCAAATATGTTTATTGAAAAATTACATCATTACTCCTCCTGAAGCTCTTTCCAAGCTACACATATTTATATAATTTCTGTTCTGTATCTTTTATAGGAACTATTATGACAGACATTCTTTCACACTCCACACATTTCTACACCTGCCATGTGGATTCTTGCATGGGAAGTAAGATGACTGGTCTGAGTAAAAGTCTTTCCACACTCTGTGCTTTTATAAGGCTTTTATACTGTGTAGATGTTTTTATGTAACAAAAGTGATCTATTTTTGTAGAAATCCTTTCCACATTCCACACTTTTATAGGCATCTCCTGTGTGAATCCTTTTATGGGAAGTAAGACAATCACTCCGACTGAAACTCTTTCCACACTCCATGCATTTATATGGCTTCTCCCCTGTGTGAATCCTTTTATGGATTGTAAGATCACAATTTCTCACTGTTTCAGTTTCACCATAAAGACCAGAAAATGCCATTCTATGTCTTCCTGTGAGGAAGACATGCATGATTAATAACAAAATAGAAGGATGTATTCTACAGAAGAGAACACACAGAGAAGGTAAAATAGTTGGGATCTCTCTGGGGAATTGAAGGACCTTCGATTACCTTCCAGGGTATCCTGGCTTGAGTCTTCCTGAAATAACCTCCGGAAAAACAGATCCTGAGGGGGACTTGATAGATTCCTCCTTTCTTCAAGATCTCTGATCTCCACAGTGAAGGACTTGAAATAGGAGGAAAGAGAGAAGAAGAAGAATTTATATACATCACACAACATGGAGTTGATTCTTAACCTCACTCAATATCCATCAAGGAGCTGAGAGAGAAATGACTGGAACAATGTCCTACAAGAATTAGTGAAACACCTCCATGTAGTATGAATGCCAGAGACGTCTGGAAGGCAGGGGGTGAAGAATTCGAACACTTTATTCCCTTCAAAGCCCTTCTAGACTCCCAAGAAGAAAGTGTCTCACTTCCAACTTGATCAGCTCCATCTGCTTCTCTGCCTGGCTCAGGAGGAATCCTTCAGCCAGGGCCACTGCCTGGGAGGTGGTCTCTGCTCCACACTCCCGCACCCAGCTCTCCATCTCTGGGGGCCTCCATGGCCCACCGCAGCAGATTGCCCAGGCAGCCCTGAAGCGCCATGGCAGCCACACCCTCCACCCACACCCCGCAGCATCATCTGCATGCTATGGGGCATGAGGTCGGAGTCTTGTCCCTGCTGCCCGGCTGTGTCCTTGGCTGCACTGCTCCATGCGGGCTGTGTCTGGGGGCAACTCTCCTCCAGGGGGGCTGCTGGTGAGGAGGGAGCCATGGGGGAGGCAGGGCTGGGCAACAGTATGTGTGCCCACAGAGAGGGCTCCGAGTGCCGCCTCTGGCACGCGTGCCATAGGTTCGCCACCACTGAACTAGGGAGAGGAAAAAAGGGAGGGATGGAGGGATTCAAAGCACAAACCGAGTCATATTCAATCAATGAAACAATTACTCATTCAATATCACATTCCATCTCTTTATATATACTTTGATGAAACTTAAGTCCCCTTTAGATTGTTTAATGAAGAGAAGGAGGAGGGGGGACATGATAGCAGTATTCCAATATCTCAGGGGCTGCCACAAAGAAGAGGGAGTCAAGCTATTTTCCAAGGCACCTGAAGGCAGGACAAGAAGCAACAGGTGGAAACTAACCAAGGAGAGAAGCAACCTAGAACTAAGGAGAAACTTCCTGACAGTTAGAACAATTAACCAGTGGAACAACCTACCTCCAGAAGCGGTGAATGCTCCGACACTGGAAGTTTTTAAGAAGAGACTGGACAGCCATTTGTCTGAAATGATGTAGGGTTTCCTGCCTGAGCAAGGGGTTGGACTAGATGACCTCCAATGTCCCTTCCAACATTATTATTATTATTAATGGTAGATAGGGCTCAACATGACTGGTCATTTCATGACCGTTTGAATTTACAACAGCCTTGGAAAGGGTGTTTTAATGGCCTGTAACATGTAGCACTACCTTAGGATCATGTGGCTGCATTTCAGTTACTCAACAAGTGACTCAAATTTACAACCAGTTAGTCTTCCACGGTCATGTACTTTGTGATGCTTTTAGCTAATTTTCAACAACAACAAAAAAACACTGTTTGGAAGAATGGGTTCAGTTAATTGCTTAACAATTCGGGTGAAAAAGATTGCAAAATCAGCTCTACTCACATGTTGCCTTCACTGACAACCACAAAAGACTGGATTTTCAATTCCAATTCAGGTTGTAAGTAGAGGACTATCTGGTACAATATTGCTTCAGGCCCACAACTTCTCTGTTGCAAAATTACCAACTTTTGTGGAGGAGACAAAAGGGTAGGGTCCTGTGATAAATTATTGAGTATGTTAAGGAATGAGAAAGGAAAGGGAAAACAATTAGAATTAAGAATGAAAAGGAAAGTTTATGGGAAGTGACCTTGAGTAAAGCAGACACAGCTCCTTCTACTACAGCTAGAGAAGCAGCACCTGTTAAACATCTGCCAGTTTGAAACCAGAATCAAGAGGGAAGAAGAAACAATTTGTGAGAAGGAAACTCACTTGCAAAAACACAATAAAGGCAATACTTCCATGAAATTGCATAATCCGGAATCTGAGATGACAAAAATGGCCATTTGCTTGGAAATTGACCCCTCCAAATTGAAGCTGCAATAAACAAACTTAAGAAAGAGATTTTCATTCTTCATGTATAAGTAGCATGGTTCATCTTCAAATGACAGTACTGTCAAAAATCTGTGGTTCATAATTAAAACATCATTAGTAATTTCATCTCTCTGGAGCTGCCATTTGGGAGGGTCAGGCTCCATTTGTTTTGTTTTCCTAGATCTGTACACACAAATACAAAATGCACAGATCTATATGGATTCTCTATAAGTCTATATGGATTCTCTATAAGTCTATATGGATTCTCACCCAAATGTATGTTTATTGCAAAATTAGGTCATTACTCCTGTAGCTCTCTCCAAGCTCCTCAGATTTATATGTTTTCTCTTTGGTATGAATCCTTTTATGAGTCCACACATTTATATGCCTTCTCCTGTGTGTATCCTTAGATGGCAAGTAAGATTGCCTTTTTGGCTAAAGCCCTTCCCACAATCCATGCATTTATAAGGCTTTTCTCCTGCATGGATCCTTTTCTGTAACATAAGTGATCCATTTTTGCAAAAACTCTTTCCACACTCCACCCATTTATATGGCTTCTCCTGCGTGTGGATCCCTATATGGGAAGTAAGATGACTGTTCTGAGTAAAGGTCTTGCCACAAGCCATGCATTTATAAGGCTTTTCTCCTGTATGGATCCTTTTATGCAACATGAGTGATCCATTTTCAGAGAAACCCTTTCCACATTCTGCACATGTATATGGCTTCTCCCCTGTGTGGATCCTTATATGGCAAGTAAGAATATTTCTAGCAATAAATCCCTTTCCACACTCCAGACACTTAAATGGCTTCTCCCCTGTGTGGATTCTGTGATGGTAAGTAAGATTACTTCTGTTAGTAAAGCCCTTTCCACACTCCACACATTTATATGGTTTCTCCTCTGTGTGGCGCCTGTAATGGTAAGTAACTTGGTTCTTATAAGTAAAACCCTTTCCACACTCTCTACAATTATATGGCTTCTCCCGTGTGGATCCAGCTATGGGAAATAAGTTGATGTCTATCAATAAACTCCTTTCCACGCACCACACATTTATATGGTTTCTCTCCTGTGGATCATTTTATGGTAAGTAAGATGACGGCTCTGCGTAAAGGTCTTTCCACACTCCATGCATTTATAAGGCTTTTCTTCTGTATGGGTCTTTTTATGTAATATAAGTGATCTATTTTCATGGAAACACTTTCCACATTCCATACATTTGTATGTCTTCTCCCCAGTGTGGATCCTGTTATGGCGAGTAAGATTACATTTAATAGTAAAGCTTTTTCCACACTC